AATAAACAAACAAAATAGAAACAAACTCATAGATGAGAACATTTTGATGGTTGCTAGATGGGAGAGGGTTTAGAGGATAGGTGAAAAATGGGAAGGGATTACAGTCATGCGGCTGTAAAGTACAGCACAAGGAATACAGTCAATAACATCGTAATAACTATGTATGATGTCAGATGGGTACTAGCTTTATTGGAATGATCACTTTATAAGTTATCTAAATGTCTAATGACAATGTCGTATACTTCAAACTAATGTAATATTGTATGCCAACTGTAATTTAAAAATAAAAAAATATTATAAAAAAATTAAGCAAGGTGAGGTACACCTGCCCTGGCCATCATCTGAGAAGCCACCACGGGAAAGCAGAGGCAGCAAGGTCAGCTGCAGACCCTGCAGTAGGACAGATTCTCACTCTAAGTGCCTTAAGGCCAAGGTAGCAGTGCTGATGTTGCAGCCTTTGCAAAACCGTCCAGACCTTGAGAATTCTCAGGAAGTTTCTGTCTTCCAACTCCAGGTCACCAGAGAAGGCTTTCTTTAAGCCCAACCAGACTGAAGGAGAATTGGGGAAGACCAATGCCCACCGGATTTTGCTCCTTTTTTTTTTTAATACACGATTTTTATTGTCTTTAAAATATCACAGGTAAGTCTGAGGAATCATTTGACATCTTGGCATTTCTGTAGCTGGACAACTTTGACCTTATTCATCAGCCTGGTGAACTGTTCCTTTTTCAGAAACATAAATATCATCCAAAATTTTTCTGATATCTTTGTTTTTCACTGTCGTGGCTTGTTGAATCAAAGCAACTCAATTTGATACAAATTCAATGTCATTTCCTTCAAGAATTAACTTATCTTTCTGGGCTTGAGATACTGAACAAGCAACACCTGACTTCATCTGAACCCTGTAGATGTATTTTACCCAAGAAATTTTGAATTTCAACAAGAAAACCATTCTCCTGAATAACAATGTTGATGAGGAAGTGAGTGTACATGTTGATGGGGAAGTGAGTGTACACAGACTTCATCTTGTAACAAAAGCCCAGTGTAACATCCTTGATCATGTTCTTGTACATGACTACAGACAGTATGAACAGTAGCCAGTTCCTTTCTATTTCCCCACCATTTGTAAACCCGGAGTCTCTTCTTTTTCTTTCCAAGGAGACAGAGTTCTACATTAATGTGATTGAAGTCCCTCCACAGGGTGCCTCTGAGGCCCTTCACAATAACTGAGCATCTCTTCAGAGTGATAGCCGCATTTTCTGGAATGTCAGCAATCTGATTGCTGAGAATGGTTCTCATCCTTGCATTAGATGCAGCAAAAAGAGCTGGATTTTGCTCCTTTTATACAGAAGAGGGGCAATGGACTTAGCATGACCTACTGTCCCAGTTTGCCAATGTCTGTAGGGTTTCCCGAGACATGGGCTTTCTGTGTTAAAACCAGCACAATTCTGGGAAAACAGGGAAGGTGGGGTCACCTAAAAGGCCATGAAAAGGATTCTCCTTCCCTGAGGCTGGCACATGGCTGGGGACAGAGGACAGCTCAGACTTGAGCTGCCTGTTAATGATTCTGCTAACCAAAACTTTCCTCGCTATTTGGCCTCATATGAGGGGAAAGGCTGAAGAGCAGAGGGGTTCTGTGGCCAGCTTCGGAGCTGTCTTGGGAAAATAGGCAGAAGGAAAGTGTCCACGGTCTTCACGGTAGGGAAGAAATTCCCTCACTGGTTTTAGGAGGTGGAGGCCAATGAGGCCGCACATGGAGCTTGAGGCATCGGGAAGGAGTAGGGGAGCACCTGAGAACAGTGCCAGGACAAGGGTTTGACTTGTCTTTAAACCCTTCACCAGGATACGAACCCTGGGGAGAAGGACAAGGGGCCGGGTGGCTATAAAATCTTTTGCCTGGTGGCTCCCCTCCCAGGGACCCAGAAGGCAGGTCTCAACGGAGAGCAGCTGTGAGTGCTGTCCTGGTGTGGGCCTGAGACACCAGAGCTAGCTTGTTTCTTTAGATCTGTCCCAGGAAACAGGATCTCCTCCATGGGTGTCCCAACTGGAAGTTGTGGGCAGACAGATGTCTCCATAGGCAATGGAGGTTTGAGTTAAACTGGTCTGACAAAGCAGATCCCATGGAGACCACCTCACCCGTACCCCTTATTTGACAGGTGGGAGACCAAACTCTGGGGAGGCTGTCACTAGCTCAGGGCAGCACATTCACAAGTGGTTAGAATCCCAGATGGGACTCCCCACCATCAGATGCCACAGCCAGAGGGTCCCTGGAAGAGAAGAAGCTCAGAAGCCCAGCCTGGCCCTGTGAAAGCCCCTGCCCTTCTGGAGCCCACCTGCTGTTCTGAGAGAGGCACATTAGAGGGAGATCATGCCTTCGGGAGCCAGCACTCCTCTCTCCATTCTGTGTGAGTCTCCAACTCCAGGTGAAAAGCTTCCAGCAGATTCCCTTGGACTGCTCTGCCCTGAGGCCTTCAGGCTCTGGAAATCTGCAGAGGGTGCCTATCTGCTATGCCTTGTCTCTCCCAGTCTGGGAATGTGTAAGAAAGTTGAGCCTCACCCTCAGGAAGAGAAAGCTATTCCCCACCTCTGCACTAGGAACTTTCCTAGAGTTGGGACAGGTAAGATTCAGTTTACACAGCTAATAACAATGCTGGGCTCCAATCAGTTTAGCAGGAAACAGAGACTGGAGGGTGGGGCAAATGCAGATACATTCAGGTGTGTCTGATTAGTGCTTTGGGGAGGAATCCAGACGCAGGATGCTGAGGGAGGCGGAAGAGTGAGAGCAGATGTAGGTGGGTTCTGTTTTGAGTAGTCAGGAGGGTCCTAAGCGTAGGGCCAGGAGAAGGCAGAGAAGAGAGAAAATAATAGAGATACAGCTACCCTACCAGCTTTTAACATTTATAGTATTTCTAGTTTTATCCCATTGTGGGTGAGCTCAGCATTTCCAAAAATAAAATGCAAGAAAGAACCTGAGAAATGTTCTCAAGGAATGACAGGGCTGCCCTTTTTTTTTTTTTTTTTTTTTTTGCAGCAAACTTTCTAGGAAACACAAGACTACATAAAGGGCCAACAAGGAGAGAAAGCCTGCACCCCACTGCACCCTTCAGACCCAAGAAGAGAGAAAGGCTCTGTCCTGGGCAGGGTGGCCAGGAGCCACCTTCATGGGAAGCCTCTGGAGGCTCGAAAGCTCTGCCCAAGCAGATGAGATGCTGACTTCTCCAGGAGGGGAGTATAGATTTCCTGCACACAGAAATTCCCTGACTTATTCAACGATAGGCCTTTGGAGCTCCCTTAGCAATTACCACCTCACCACGCAGCTTCCTGCCTGGCTAGCCACGAATAATTTATTGCAAATAAGTCTCTTTGCTCCAATGAGGCAGTTGGGTTTTCTACTTCTGAATTCCCTACAGAGCTTAACATAGTTGGGGACCCAGCTGGCCCTCATTAAAATTCTTCTGGATCTGAATCTTCCCAACTTACCATGCCCCCTTCTCCACCCTCAAAATCCAGCAGCCAGCCCAGAAATGCACTCATTTCTCACTTTCCTAAGGGCTGGATTGGCAGGTGCCATCAAAGGAAAGGCAGGTTAAGAGCCCCCGAGTCTGTAGATCTGACTGGTAACTTGACAAGAGCTTCCATAGGTAAACAGAGAGTCGCTATTAGCAAATTCTCTAATTAGGATTCTCTTTATTGTCCTCCTGTGGAAAATATTCATTTGTAACATTTAAGTCAGACCATGAATCTCATGGAGAACTGGAAATCTGTAAGAATATTACCTAAAGGTCTCTGGCAGGAGTCACCTCCCAGGTTTTGGTTGCATCACCTATAAAAAGTATTACATAGGCAGGTGCCTAAGCCTGAGATAAAGTATCTTCCAATTCTACTCTTCTGTGCAAAATTGGACCATCTCGTTCATCCATGTGCGAAAGCGTGATGTAGATTTGGAGTAAAAAGACCTAGGGTTCACATCCTGGCTCTGCATTCCTGGCTGGTCTTGGGAAGTCACTTAATCTTTCTGAACTAATTTTCTTCCCTATGAAGTGGACACAATAATAATATCTTCACCACATAGATATGAGATTTAAATGAGATACTATATGTGAGCAGGGCTGACAAACTGTAAAGTAGTATTCAATGATTACTGATTATTAATAGGGCATAATGACGGCGATACATAAAAATGTTCCTTTAAATAAGCAATTGCTTATGGGTGACATAAGAAACGAAAAAGATCATAGTTGATGGACTTGCTGGTAACTTCTCCCTGCCCAGGGGGATCGGCTGCCCTGAATCTGCCTTTTGAGATGGGCACTTAACAGATCTTAGAGTGGAGGCTGGCAGTCTGGCCTCTACAAAAGCAGGGTGAAGCTGTTGGCCACCTGCCAGGGCTTCTCCCATGCTGCTTCTGCAATTTGACAGCAGACTGCAGACAACCTCCTCCCCAAGTAATAAAGTAACAGTAAATTAAGGCCCTTATTTTTTAGTGCACTTTATGCAAAGGGAGCAGACCCTCTAGGAATGAATATTCATTTGTACTACCCTTAAAAAAATGCTGATAAACTCACAAAAAGTTGTTATTGCTAAATGCTAATTGCATTTCCTTGGGTAAGCACCATAAAAAATTCATTGCAGTTTTCAGAAACAAGCTCCCAATTGCATTTTAATTGCTAGAGAGGCGAGACTAGGGGAGAAACTTAACCAGGAAAATACTAACTAGTTATAACAAGGAACTCTCCCCAAGCCAGAAGGCCCAGTTCTGAGCAAAGAGCTAAGAAAAAGCGATGGGTCTCGTTGGGAAGCCAGACCTAAGAGAGCTCTGACCTAAGTGTTTCTCAGACTTTGCAGCGTCTTAGCACCTAGATGGCTGGGGCTTTTTGTTGCAGATCATGACATGCAGATTTGACAAATGTAAAGAATTAAATAAATATATACATACCAAAAGTCTAGAGAGATGAGCAGGAGTCAATTCCATAGTTTTAAGAAACATGTATGGGGGGAAGATTGTAATTTTACCTTTTAATGTGAGGGTCTGTGGGGGAGAGGGGGGCAGGAGACTGGACATAGACCATACATATCTTCATTTTAATAACAGAACTCTTTGGACCAGTTCACAAAACTGTCATTTGAAACCAACCTATTCCAACACCAACCAGAATATTTTTACAGTAGCCCCTACTCCTACCCCTGCTCCAAGCAGGGCCAGCCAAAGCCAAGTAAGAACAGGAAGCAGGTGAGACCAACCACAGCAAAGTAGGGAGGATCCTGACTCCATGGGCTTAATCTGGGCTGGCTCGGTCTTGACTCCATCTTCCCAGGAGCATCCAGAGGCAGGGTGGAGGGCACAGGGAGAAGGAAGGCCCAGGGTATCCCTGAGCATCCTCCCAAAAGATGGGCACAGTGGCTAGGCAGGGGAGAGAGCAGAAGGGCAGGCTGCTTCCGGCATCCTCTTCCTTTTCAGCTCCTCCCCGACGTTCAGCAGCTGCCCCACGCTCCAACTCTGCCTCAGCCTCTCTCTCGTCATTGGGACTCGCTGGTGAGATAGAGAAACTGGAAATCAGAGTGTGAGGAGAGAGCTCTATGGCCTGGAGGCTGGCCCATGGGTGGTGACTGTCTCTTGTGCAGTGATAGGAAATCCATGCCTTCTGCTTCGGGGTCTGCTGCTTCTCCATCTAGTGGACCTGCCAGAGATCCCAGAAAACATGAGGTTGGTATGAGTGAGATGGAGGAAACGATGGGATTAGGGGAGAGATTCCTGAGCTGAAAGAGGAAGGAGCTGGATCCACAGCGTGGCTCCAGCATGCACTAGCCAAGTAATTTTCATTTTAGTAAATCACTTAACTCTTCAGAACTTCATTTCCGCTTCTACCAAATCGGGCTAAAAATATCCACTTCTCTAGGTTTTTTTAAGGTTTGAACGAGATGATGGATGCATATGTCCCCTGTAAACCCTAAAGTTTATTAGCTACCACCCACCCCATGCCCAATCTTGCAGAAAAATGCTTTTCTTTATCATGATCAGCATTTGTGAAGTACTTGATACAAATAATGTGTTTTTATACACATTATCTCACTTGGCCCTCCCACTGAATAGATGAAGCGAGTGGCTTGCCCAATGTCGCACAAGAATTAATTAGTTGCCAAACCTAAATTGCTAAATGCTGAGCTCTCTCTGTAGTGCAGGGAATATGGGCACCAGTAACTCCCTTAGAAATCAAGGGTGAGTGATGGTCATAAATAAATCCAAAAATAACATGAGGATCACTCGCTCTAAGCCTAGCACTGTGCAGACCTTATACAGGTCTTACCACATTGAATTGTCACAATAGCATACCAGGTAGCCACGATGGTTATTACCAGGCAACTGAGGTTTACCAGTTAGGAACTTGCCAAAGTTCACACAGTAAATGGTAGACCTGGGGTACAATACAAACTCATATCTACTCTTCCCCAGTTTATGCTTAAATGGCTAGAAAGCCAATGGATTCAACATAATAAGCATCATTTCTGCTTCATCCCTCCTGGGGAACATTCTCTAGCCCCTCCCAAGCCCCCAGCATGGCCCAGGCCTAAGGGGTAAGGGTCACAGGTTCCAAGGAACAGGTCCTCTACAAACTTCCCCGCCTCACCCCGGCCTCCACACTCACCCATATCGTATTGTGGATCCAGTCCAGGAACTCAGCAATCTTGGCATAGACGCCAGGGTGATTGGGCTCTGCGCAGCCTCGACCCCAGCTGACCACCCCCACGAGGCGCCATGTGCCCCCATCTGGGCACACCAGGGGCCCCCCGCTATCTCCCTGGGGGATCCAGGCACAGAAACCAGAGGAACAGGCAGTTAGTGCTTCCAGGTAGAGGAGCACCAGACCTCCCTGGTTAGCAGACCCTGCATTCCAGGCCCCTTCCGCTTCCAGCATGGATCCTGCCTTTCTTCACCCCTCCTAGGGATGCTGCTCAGACAAGGGGCCAAGCCACAGCAGGACCCCTGCTACCCACTCCACCACAGCCCCCTCCCTGCCACACCTGGCAGGCATCAGCCCTCCCGTCCAGGTAGCCGGCACACAGCATGCGGGGGGTGAGGGCCCCGCTGTACACGCAGGAGCTGTTGCAGAGCTGGGTGCTAAGCAGCGGCACCATGGTGTCCTGCAGAGTGTCCGAGCTGTGGGCTGCAGGAGGCAGACACAGAGATAGAGGGACACAGCAAGGCCAAAGGGCACAAAGCAAGGCCCAAGAAGGCAGAGCAGCAAGAAGGGAGGTGGTTAAAGGCCCCAGAGAAACAGAGACCAAAAGAAGGGATCCCAGGATGTGGGCTGTGGACCCTGAACAAGGAGGCAAGGGTCTGTCAGACTTGGAGTCTGGGAGTGAAGAGGAGTAGAACTCTCATACACAACCTCAAATACTAAGGCCTTGGCACTCCTGGGACAAAGGTAGCGAAAGTAAAGGGCCTGGGTTTAGGGGAAATTCGGGGGTTGTTCTCTCAGAAAGACCAGACAGGGAAGACTGGGGCCCCTAGGCCTGGCCGATGGTGACACCAGAGGACAAGTAGACTGGCACTGGAATGTGACTGGGGGAGGTGGAAGTGCCTCTCCTTGGGAAGGATGCCCCGCCCCCCATTCCCATACCCATTTGCAGCCAGGGCCCTGGGAGTTGACTTACTGTGGCTGGGGTCGGTGTGGCCCCAGCCAGATACCCAGCACTGTGAACCCCTCGGAAAATCCTGCTCTTCGGCCGGCAGGCACACAGCGCCCACGGTGTCTGTGGAGAGGCGTGGTCCTGGGTCCCTCTCAGGCTCAGTTTCCCTCCTTGAGCCTGGGTGCCCCTTCTCAAACTGTCCTGGTTCTTGGTCTCCACCTAGTCCTCCTATACAGTGTGCAGGTTCAGCACTATAACACCTTGGGGGTCACCACTCACACAGAGGACAATATATAAACTTCAGTGCGCATGGCACCCTCTGGATTGGGCAGCGTACACACCGCACACGTCCCCACCTGAAGAGGAATGGGGACTGAGGGAGAATGGAATTCCTTCTGGGCCTTTGTACCCAACTTCTCCTAATGAGGACCCATTTCGGATTTTCCCCAGGGTGTTTGGTTCTTCTTGGGGCATTGTTTACAAAAGTGTGTGATGCGCCCTACAGGAGGAGCCCGCATATATTCTTAGGCAGTACACAGATGTGCCGTTAAATAAACACTGATTCACGTGGGGAGAGAGTCCCTCCAACTGCATGAAGGAGAAAGATTCCCTCTGGTGCTCCTTTTAGTGCCTGTCAACCTCCATTTAAACACAGAGGGAGCAGGTCCCGGGCACAGCAATTCTGCAGAGGACAGCACCCAGCTAGAACTAGAACACTGTTTTGTTTTCACTGTGTACTTTTGTGATTATCTATTTACTATAAGTAATATGGGTTCTCCAGTTAGGAAGTAACTTAAAGTTCCCCTTTTAAATATATTGACGTCAATTTGGAAATATTAACTATTGAATAACAGTTCAGAGAGTACCCATATATAAAGTTTGTGAAAGGCATATAGCAACAACTGTTGTTGGGGAAATCCAAGACTGCAGGTCACAATGGGAGGGAGAAGTGCTAAGTATTTGTGAGTGCATGCACACAAGTGTATATGATGTGAGCATGTAGTATTTGGGAGTGCATGCACACAAGTATGTATGATGTGACTGTGTGTGCATGAGAGTGAGTGTACATGTATACTTGTGTGAGCATTGCACGTTTGTCTGTTTCTGTGCATATGTATGTGTTTGTAGGGGAGTGTGCACGTGCACATGTGTTGTTGGAGGTGCCCTTCTAGGACAGATGCTATGGAGAAGCCTGGCCCCAGAGTCAGCACACCAGGCTCAGGAACTATTTGCCGCATGGACTTAAAAAAAAAGTCACTTCCCTCACTAAATTCAGTGTCCTTATCTGTATGTACCTGCGTCATCTACCTGTCAAGGTTCTTATGAGGATCAAGTGAAAGAATATTTGAAAAAAGAAATCTTATTAACTATAACATGCCACAAGGTGGCTGGGACCGAGGACCAGCCTGAAGACAGGCACAGGGAGGCTATTGATAGAAGGAGCAACTGTAAAGCTCTGCTTGCAACCTGGAGGCAAATCCTGCCTGCAGCCCAGCTATGAAAAGGGCCAGAACATTTGTCCCCAAAAGAGTTTGTGCACTTTGGGTCCAGGTGATGCTAAGTGCAGTAAGTCACCAAATGAACTGAATGCTTTAAGGCAGCGGTCCCCAACCTTTTTGGCACCAGGAACTGGTGCTCCTATGAGAATCTAATGGCTGATGATCTGAGGTGGAGCTAAGGCAGTGATGCTAGCACTGGGGAGGGGCTGCAAATACAGATGAAGCTTCGCTCACTCACCCGCCACTCACCTCCTGCTGTGCGGCCTGGTTCCTAACAGACCACGGACTGGTACCGGTCTATGCCCCAGTGGTTGGAGACCCCTGCTTTAAGGTTTACAGCACTAAGAGGAAACCTTAGAAATCTTGCCTTTCGGCCCTCCCTATGCCTGCTCCTCTCTCACCACAGCCTGCACCTGCTCACCCGGAGCCAGCGCCTCACCTGAGAACATGAGCGGTGTCCGGAGCCGCAGGAGGGCGACATCGTAGTCATGATTCTGGGCACTGTAGAGAGGGTGGGGGATGATCCTCTCCACCACAGTCCCCTGGTGTGGCCTGACCATACTGTGGCTGACCAGCCCCGCATGGACTCGCCAGCTAGACAGGCGGGACAGCCTGAAACTGTACACAGGAACCATGCTGAGCCCGGGAAAGGAAGGGGCAGAAGAGGTTGACATAAGTGAGGTGGAGGGTGGAGGAAGCTGACCAGAGAGGCTATTAGTGGGGACCCCCATCACTAGGCTGTAAGCTCCCAGAACCCCTGAGTACCCCCTCAAAGATGGCAAGACAGTGGGCATGCAGTAGGTGCTTAATAAATGCTCAAGTATTGATGGATAGAGAAGTAAGACATTATGTGTCATCTGCAACCACCATCCCCACTCCCCTACATAGACCCCCTCCAAGTTTTACAGCAAACATCGAAGGGCCTTGTATGATGTAACTCTAAATCAGGAAAACATCCATCAGTCCTGTCTTTCCACTTACAGTACGTGATTCTGGGGAGTCATTTCACTTCTCCCAGCCTCAGTTTCCTCATTGTAACATGAGGATTACAATATCTGCCCTGCTTACCACCAAGCAAAGAGGGCCAAAGAGCTCATTCAGTCATCATTCATCCTTCATTGCTACAACCAGTATTTATTAAGCACCTGCTGTATTCCAGGACTGTTCTAGGCCATGAGGACAAGGCAGTGGGAAAATCAACAGAGGGATTCAGTGGAAAACAAGACTGAGTCCCTGCTCTTGTGGAGCTTCCAGTCTAAAGGAGAAGAAAGATATTAAACAAATAATTACATGGAAAACGGTTTAATTAGAGTGGTGATAAACGTTAAGAAACACAGAGTACAATGAGTATGAAAGCACTTTAAAAACTTAAAACTTAAAAAATATAAAGAACCGATACTTGTATTATTACAGCTATTCATGTACAGCTGTTCTTGGCACTGAACAGGGAGAATTTCACAAACACCATCGTGCCCACTCACAGCGGACATGGGGAGGCAGACAGTTGGACATGGACATTTTATACAGGATGTACCAATGGCCAAACAGAAAAAGTGACTGAGGCACTCTCCTCCCCAGCATCCTGAGACTTGCCTGTGTATGCAGTGCGCAGCGGTCACTACCCAGTGTGGTGCCAGCACAGAGCCCCCACATGTGTGCCGGGAGCCCAGGGCCACACTGGCCTGCCAGGGCCAGCGCCCAGGAGCCACAGCCTGCCCACCCACTATCCGAGAAGCCAGGGGCCTTGCTCCACACTCTGCAAACAGAGAAGCACCAGTAAGTTGGAAAGAAAGAGATGTGGGTATCGGCACAGTCTTAATGCTCAGCAAGTGTAGTCCAGTGCGAATAGCTTACATCTATTATTCCTGGTCCTAAGTAGAAATGTTGATTACGCACCTGCAGACCCTACCAGGCTGTGAGCTCACTAGAGCAGGGACCATGGCTGTGTTATCTATGGAGCCCCAATAACTAATGAAACGCCTGTCCTATAAGAGGTGTGTGGGTGGATGCATGGAAGGATCAATGCCGAGATGGACAGATGCATGGGAAGAGAAATGAAAGGAACTACACAGACTGTTTCCCATTTGACCCCTAATTCAGTACCCTCCTTGATCTCCTGAAGCTGCTAACTGGTTAATATCCAGTAATATTTCCAACTTCAAGGCTCTCCAGAAGAAAGGGGGAGTGAGTATCAGAGGCCAAGGCAGGTAGTGTCAGGTAGTGAAGCAAGGAGACCATCTGCCTGGGCCAGTGGCTGGTGGAGGATATGACAAAGACTTAGACAGGGCTCCGTTTGGGCTGAACTGTGTCTGCAAGAAGTGTCCTGGCAGGCAGATGGGCAGGTAGACAGGAAACCCCACCCCAGACCCAACCGAGCCTCTCTATAGGGCTATTCCGCACATGGAATTGTGGGTGGGGGTGAGGAGAGATTCCTTCTTCCCACCACTACCTTCCTAGGTCCAAGATATGACTCACCAGAGCATTTGAGGGAAACAATTTGGCCAGAAGCGCAGTTGTCCCTGCAAAACAGAGGCACCAGCAAGAAGCTGGGCAGGGACCCACTCGAGGCTGAGCACCCACCCAAGGGCATGGAGGAAGGTCGGAGTCAGAGGAGGCCTCTCATGTAGCCATAGCCATCTGGTTCCCACCCCTACCCAAGCCCCTAAGTCCCTCCTCAAAACAAGTCTCCAGGACACAGTGTGCACACTGTCCAATTGCCCCAAAACACCAGCTAGACTTCATGGTCCTCAAGGGTTGCTTTGGGTAAGGCCCAAAGTTATAAATCAGGTATTCGTGAATGAGAAAGCCCAGCCGTTCCTGCTAAGCGTCCCTGAGTAAATGTGCGTTTGGTGGATGAGTGAAGAAACGAGTGGGGAGTGAACAGGACTCTGCCCGTGCTCCTTCCCGGGCTTACTCTAGTCTCTATTCCAAGCCCCTTGCCTGGCCCTGAATATCCACATCCTTGTTTTTTTCCCTTCTTTTTCCTTAGCATAAACTTCAGTTCCAAAGCCCTCTTTTCTTTCTTCACTCATCTCTTGCCCCTCATAGCCCAGTGCCTGGATTCTTAGTTCCTTCTAGTTTCTCAAAACCACAGCCCTCTGGCTCTCCTGGCAGAGTCAGTCCTACTCCTGCTTCCCTTTGTCTGTTCGGGTCTCTAAGATAGCATTCGAAGCCTCCCTAATCTATACCCATGTTCCCATGATGGACCCTCAGAGGGCGGGAGCTGGATAGGAAGGGCCTGAGAAATGGGTTCAGACAAGAAAAGTGGTGTGAAGATAAGAAAGCTTCGGAGCGGTGATGGGGAGCCCAGCCAGCCCGGGAAGCTGCTGGGCAGCTGGAAGAAGCCCAGGCAGAGCAAAGACCTTCTCAGCATGTGCCCACCCCCACGATCTGGGGAAGGACTCACTCTATCCCAGAGCCCTCTTCTCTGGAGGGTCTCCAGGATCGAATCAGCTCTTAACCAGAACAAATCAACCATCTCTTTCCTGAGACTTATCCAAGACTCGAGAATTATCCAAATAAAATGTGGCAGGGGTGAGAGAGCAGTCAGTTTGGAGACAGGAGCCCGGTTCTAAGACTTGGTTTGGCAGCTTATTAGTTCTATAACCTTGGACAAGGCCTTTTTCCTGATCAAGGCTCAATTTACCCACCTGTAAAGTGGGAATAAGAGTACCATGTCAAATACTGTGACAATAACAACCCATCTCACAGTTCTTGCAAGGGGCAAGTAAGATAACGTGTGTGAAACTTGGATGGGCAGGCGCGTGGATCTGAGTTTGTAATTTCTGATCAGGAAATGTTCCTCTTTGTCCTCCTGTCTTACACCACCAATGTCCAAGCCACCAGGCTCCAGTGACGGGAAGATTTTTGCTGAACTGCTTGCTCACCAGGAAGTAAGGGACCCCACTCATCTCCTCAGTAGCCTTACCTGGGTTGCCACACCTCCTCCAGGACACCTCCTAGTTTAGGAGGGAGCTGAGCAAACTTGTGAGAGCTGTTGAGCTTGATGTCAGACAGGTTCACCCCCTTGTGGTGAATAAGACTTGGCAGAAGAAAAGAACAGAACAGGAGGAAATTGGCCGCAGCATGAGAGGTGGTGGTTAATAACTGGAACGTGCATGAGATACTACATCCAGATAGTGACCAAGCATGGCTATAACAATTGCCTCTTCTGAGATTTGTTTGTTAGAAAACAAAGACACTCAAAGGAGAGATATAGGATGGGGCACCATCATGTCCAAGATGACCAAAATGACCTCTTGCCATTCCCTGAGCACTTTGAGCATGACAGGCAGATAAAGGTCTCTAACTCCCCATCCCCTGCTGCTAGCCCTCCACCCTCCCCAGGCTTCAGGTCTGGCCCCAGTTACCTGAGATGCCCAAGGCTCCGGCAGATCTGCACACCCAGGGCAGAGCTCCAGCCCTCGTGGCAGACCAGGAGCCAGTCTGGCCGGGCCCTCAACTGTACTTGCAGCAAGAAGTCCTCAGTGTTTATTCTGAAAGATACTGAACCATAGCATGAAAGCCACATCCCACCTGCTGTCGGGTGGAGGGGTGGGGAGGGCAGGGGGAGCTGAACCTGGCCACTGTAGGATCTGTAGAGTCCTTAATAATAGAGTCTGGGTAAGATACTGAACCATAGCATGAAAGCCACATCCCATCTGCTGTTGGGTGGAGGAGTGGGGAGGGCAGGGGGAGCTGATCCTGCCCACTGTGGGATCAGAGTCCTTAATAATAGAGTCTGGATCGCCCAGTGTCAGGCTCCCTGTTCCCCAGTACATCTGGCTGTTTCTGAGAACAAAATAACCCTATCTGTGCAGCATTTCAGTCTTCCGTTTTAACCAAATGCTTTTACATGTGATCCATCGCTCATCGTCATGGCAGCCCTGTGGGGTGAGTATTACCATCCTTCCCATTCTGCAGAGGGAAAACTAAGGCATGAAGGTTAAGCGACCTGCCTAAGACCACAAAATCTGCAAGTGATGGATCCAGGACTAAGTCCATGTCTTCTGATTTCAAATCTTGTGACAATACTAGTGATGGTTACCATTTATTGAACATCTCTGTTTTTTTCCAGGCTATGTGCTAAGCTCTTTTATATATTAGTTTGTACTATCCTCACAACTTCATGCAGTGGATATTTTTACCTCTATTTCATAGAGAAGGAATTGGAAGCTCAAAGAAGTAATGTGCCCAAAGTCACACAGCTAGCAAAAGGCTGGCTCCAAGCTAGTTCTAACTAACTTCTATAACTGATTCTAACCCCAGCCTCAGCAGCATCATACTTTCTGATGTTCAACTCTTGCCTGAAGAGGAGAGGACAATGTCAGGGTAAAGGGGTGACAATGTATAGTGATGTTCCCAGCCCTATAAGTGACAACTGGATGAAGACATGCCAGTCACATACTATCTCCCCACCTACCTGGCTCCTCTTCCCCCAACCCCTTGCTGGCTCACTCTGCCCAAAATGGCAAGTTGCCATCCCTCCTGACATCCCTCCTGGGCTCCTGGATATTCCACAGCTAGAGGTCAAGGCAATCCCCGGGGGGTGTTGAAAGCCCAAAATTAGAGATCAGCTCTTCAAGGCTAGACTATGTCACCACAATCACACGAGAGGAGGAGACCCAGATGGGTAGCAGCAAAGTCTTGGGCCTTCACATTGGTTCTCTTGCCCCCAGCCAGAAGAGGAGTCCAGAACTGTGAAGGAGCTCAAGGCTGGGGAGTCTTGTAGCCATGGGGTGTGGCCCACCTGTTTTGGGAAGCGAGGGGAGCAGGGCTTCCTCTCCATTGGCCTCTGAGCAGCTCAAAGTCATAGCCTCATCCTGCAAGGCCCCGGAAATGGGCCGAGAGGCAGCTGGCCACAGATGCAGTGCTTCAGAGGACAAGGACAAGGAGACAGTCATAGAGGAGAAGCTGGGGAAATGGGAGGGATTCCCACAGGAGGGGGACAAGGGGCAGAACAAGACACCTGCAGCAGAGAGAGGCAAAAGCAGCCATCTGGGGACACCTCATCAACCACTCTGCCTTATGCAGGTCCCTACCTAACACGCTGAGGAGAGGCACAGTGCTCTCTCCATCTCTCCATCTCTCTTTGTCTCTGACTGGGAAAGATTTCTAGGAAAAGTTTGGCCAGCACCTCCTTAATTCACCCATTCAGGTACCTTGCATTTCTCACTATAGTTCTAGACTGTCCTCATGTAGAGCCTAAATCCCTCCAGCTGCAGTTTCATCACATCTCCCCTTGTCCACTCAGTTAATGAGAGAGACGCTCATCCATCTGCCTTTAACATCTGCATGCACCAGCGCTCTCTTCCAACATCCCTCAGGTCTTCTTTGTCCCTCCCCAGATCACCGAAAGGTCCCAGCACTGACCTAGAAGCCATGAGCCAACGCTCGCACCAGCCAGCAGCCCCAGGGCTGCCAGCACCGCACAGCCGCGCCGCCTGGAGCACCAACACTCTGCCAGAGAGACTGTGGGGGATGGCAGAGCAATGTCTGAGTGCCTTGCTCTTGGCTGCCAGCCTCACTCCACCCTGAGGCACCACTGTGGGGCTAGGCAGCCACTGAGCTACAGCAGGAGTTTGCCCTGCTGCACGTGCCCACCTCCCGCTTCCCATCACTCCTGAAGCCCACAGATCCCACTCAATCCCCAAAATGGAAAACAGAGAGCAAAATCAGATCTGGGATAAATAGCAAGACGGCCTCTCCCATCAATCATTTGGGGCTGACCCATGGAGGATCTGAGGAAGAAGAGAATCGGGGAGGGGATAAGAAGATTATCCCTTCACTGCCCCCACCCTATCATTCCCTGACAGCCCAGTCTGCCCTACTGGGTTGCTGCTGGGCCTCAGGCCTCCGTAGTGGGTCTCCCAGCTCTGCTCTGAAGATCCAGGGTCCTGGGCCCTCCTCTGCATACTGAGCCTCCGTGGGGGCTTGGCCATCCAGCATCGGGCTCTGGGGAAATAGTTGCCAGTCACTCAGGATCCCCACACCAAGGAGAGAAGTCACAGGCCACTACAAGCCTCCACTCTCTAACCCCGGCCATGCTATCATAGCCACTTGCAAGCCTTTTTTCATCTTGGAGAGTCTTTGTGTGTTCCCATAGATATCCCTCCAGACCCTCTATGCTCTCCTGGAACCCCTAACCCCACACGCCTTACTCTCACCTAGCCAGTAAGTGTCAGAGACTTGAACCCAGACTGGGCTGATTCCAAAGCTCACAATCTTTACCACCTCCAAACCTTGCCTCCCATGAGCATGGAGCGCATCTGCTGAGTCCTTTGGTATCCCTCCTCAGGCCTCAAGATCCCACCCTTCTTCATTCCCTCCTATCTCAGAGAAAGAAGTACCCTTCCTCAGTGCACCATCCATCCATTCATTCAGTAAACAGTACTGAGCTCAAGTAGACAGGCTACAACGGGAGATATTGTAAGGACCTCACGATAAATTAACATGAATCTCCACCACCACTGCCTCAGAGACATTGCATTTGAGTCCTGAAGATAAGTCATGTAAACGAAGCAGTACACTAAGAAGGAGAGCTTACTTTTCACTGGGGAAATCAAAAAAGACCTTCTAGAAGAGGCATTCTCTGAGATGGGCTCTCATAGATGACTAGGATTTGAACTGATGTATATGGCCACTGGGAATTCCAGGAAAAGAGTATTGAAGAGGAAAAGGCATGAGGGTAAGAGTAAGTTATACATTTGCCTGAAGTCCATGTGCCATGAAGAAGAGTAATCGAAACTAAGATTTTGGAAAAAATACTGGACCAGCGGTTCAAAGCTAGGTCTACAGCCTACTACGTGAACTTAACAACTCACTGTCTCTCCAAAAGTCAATTTTCCCATTTATAAAATAGAAGCGATAACCCCTGTTTCCCAATAAGTGGTCTCCTCACTTCTAGTGCCTTGTCTCCCTCCATTTATTCTCCATGCCCGAGCAATCTTGCTAAAATGCAAACATGAGCAAGCTAGCCCTGCCTTTAAAGTGCCCAGTGAAGCTTTGTAGCCTTCAGAGTAAATCCAAAGCTCTGTGGCATGGTTCACAGCATCCTCTATGATCTTACCCTTCCTCATCACTCCATCCATACCTGCCAGCACTAACCCTCTCCATAGCAGAACTTAGGGTCATACCAACACACATGCAAGTCCTCAGCACCTCCACGGGCTCTCACATCACAGAGATGTTGCCCCTGCTGTCCCCCTCCCCATATAGCTGACTCCTATGACCCTTCAAGAATCAGCTTAAATGTCACTTGCCCAAGAAGCTGGCCCTTTTATGTTCATCTACTTCTCTCTCTTTCCTTACTGACCCAGGCATCCCAGGGCCTAGCTTAGGGCCTAGCACAAAATGGGAATTCAGTTAAGGTACACTGAATGAAAGGAGGGGAGGAAGGAAGGAAGAGAGAGAGAGAGAGAGAGAGAGAGAGAGAGAGAAGGAGGGAGGGAAGGAAGGAGAGAAGAAAGGAAGGAAGGAGGGAGGGATAGGAGGCTAAACAAGATTATGTGATTAAAAGGATTTTATAAAGTACAATGCAAACATTAGGAATAAGAAAAAGAAATATGTATAAGCTATGGATCCTTTCTTCAAGGAACGTGTAGTCTAGTAAAGCAGACAAGGCCCCTTAAAGTTGAAGTAACTCCCATCTCCCCTGCAGACCACCTTTCTCTGTCAATACAGCTTGGTCTAGAGAGAATTCCAGGTAATGCCCAGCCTTTCTTCCTGTCTCAGTATTGAGGGAACTTGGCTTTCTTTCAATTCAACTTCTGGAAAAACTGGCCTCACCTCAGGTGCTGCCCCACCTCAAACCTCATTTGTCCAAACTCATGTGGCAGCCTAGGAAAATGGTCACTAATTGTACAGGACCTCCTGGTCCTCCTTTTGAGTAGGAGTTCAGTGTAATAATGATTTGCTGAGCACTGCCTACATGCAAAGCACTTGGTTAGGCATATGGGGAACAAGAGAGAATAAAGTCAGCTCCTGGGGGAAACAAAACCAGGAGGTTGGCCACACAGGGCCCCCTCTAGGATCTAGCCCCTGCACCAGAGCGCTAGAGGAGGTTCTTTCTAACAGCCAAGAATCCCAAGGGCCAGGGGTGGGTGGTAGAAAGAAAGAGAGGCCAGATCAGGGATGGCGCAGAGGTATGTAGCCTTACCATTTGGGTCAACAGCACCGATGTAAAGCCCCAGGGTCTGCTAGGAAGAGTTCTGCTCCTGTTCTAGATCAGCATTGCTTAAATACCCTGACTGGAGGGTGAGGTCTCCCTAGTTCACACATGGCCCCTCCCCTCATCCCCCTCCACACACACACACGCACAAAGACACACACCAGAGAGACAATGAACTCTGCTCAGAAACCATGAATAGACCCCTTGTTGCAGGAAAGGGGGCCAAGGGCTGGGCTGGGCAGCCTCAGCCCCTCCCATCTGCTAACTAGAAGCTTAGAAACAGAAAAATGTTACAGGGAGGAGGGGAGGCCAACTACTGTTGCTTAGCAACCAGGTCCTTTGTGCCAAAAAGTGTGCCCCATGCATGCTAGCACAATTCCCCCT